TGCAGGTCACGCAAGTTATCTGAGGCCACGGCAGAAGAAGGCGGAATTTCCAGACAAGGCTGCTGCCTGATGTACCATGTTCGGGCCTCATACCCTTCCAGAACTGCAGTGTAGATACATGGAACTGCCTCCAGCTGGCGCACTGCCTCCTTCCGGGCCGCCTGAAGACCATCGTGATGATTATGGTTGCTGTGATTGTCGTTGTTGCTGTTGCTGTTGTCATCGTCGTCGTCGTCGTCGTGCTTCGTTGTGCCTGTGGCAGCGGCTGTTGTCGGGGTGGTGATTGTGGTCGTGGGTATTGCTACTGCTGTTGTTGCTGTTGATGTTGCTGCTGCCGCTGTTGCTGTTGCTGTTGCTGTTGTTGTTGTTGTTGTGGACCAGGCACAGGTCAAGGCTTGCCACGCCAGAACCCCATGCCTAGAGGACTGCCTGGCCCGGCTTGGCATTTCCTAGCTTTCCTGGTCCCACTGAATCGAATCTCTCCGTGTCGAGGATGTACATGAAGCGAGATCGCACGTACCCAACATAAGGGCTTGATGGCCTCGTCTGCTGCGGCAGCCAGCTGCTCCTTCTGCGCTTCTTCTGGAACGTCCTCAGCAGGAGCTGCACACCGCCTCAAGAGTGGATGGTCATCGCTCTGACGAACCGGCCTGCCCGAGGGACTGTGTCAACTGCAGCTCGTCGGGTCGAATCTGGAAAAGCTGGGCTGGAGATACAAGTTGAGATGCACGCAAGAAAGAGAGTGGGGTGAGGATGAGGAGAGAGAGTGTGGGTGAGCGTAGAGAGTTCTCACGGCCGCACCCCGACGAGCAACTTCTCACCGGAGCCACTGACTGCCTTGCACGAATCACAGAAGCTTACTGAGCTTTGCAGCTCTTGCAGAAACTGGCCGGGCATCTCTAGCGGCGGCCTGAGCCCAGCCATCGTCATCTGACAAGTGGACCCAGCCGTGGTACCTGAGTGCTTTGGCCTACCTGATTTTGCTGGCAGCTTAGCCTGCTTCCATAGTCTTGATTTAGTTCCAGTCAAACGGCCCTTGCATGAAAGATCTGAGCTACTCCATCTTGAGTCGGTGCTGACGATGCTTAACAGAAGAATCAGCAAGTAAGTTTATATACAGCGTTTATGTATGTCTTATGCTTCGTGTACGCATGCCATGCGGCTAGAGGCTGCGCAAACCAAAACTGAGCAATCGACGACTGGGAGTCTGCCAGCAGGAATTCACCAAAACTCCTGGTAAACAAGAAGACTGATAACACTTCACTTCTGACCAAAAGTCGCTGATGTTTCACCTGCCTCAGGGTACTCGTAAACGGCACAGCATCCCGACAACAAGACCAACAGCACAAAGTAGCCGCCTTCTCCCCAGCAGCAACGCACCATCATATGGCTCCTGGGTTTCATCCCGACAATGGTGTGAAATGGAAGCATGTGCTTCTCAACGGTGTGGGATCCAGAAACAACGGAATTTTCCAGCTTTGCAGATTCATGATACATGCAGCCGCAGCACACGTAGAAGATCAACACCATCGTCTGCCACCACCTGAGACTCACATTGATGAACATCTGGACACAGACCACCTCACGTGTGAACTTGCCTCAAGCATCTGGCGCCCGGGTGTCTTGGCGAGGCTTTCGACGGCCATGGCCTGGAGACACGACACGGATGCCTGCAACCCGTGTCTCGCGCATTCCCCTAGCATGACATCTCTGAGCACAGAGCTCGTGGCTTTTGCACGGCCTGCACCAGGAGACTGCTAGATCACTGCAACCGGGCGCCTCGATTCCGTGACCCGAAGCTACGAAGCCGGAAGCATCCCTGAAACAAGGCCTCCAGGCACTTCTTGCTTGCACCGACTTCCTCATCAACCTGCCAGCAAACTCGGCTCCACCGGCCATCACTGCTTGGACTGGCGTGGACTGGCCTACCTATGGCCTGTTAATGGAATTCGAGCCTTTGCAGTCACATTTGCTGGTTAGCGATTGTTACGCTGTAGCTTTCCTGGATCCAGGCAGACCCCTGCCAATAAGCATGGCATACCTGCCTGGCAGATCCAACCAGTCTCCCCAGCCAGCTTCACCCAACCTTTGCCATTGGGCTCAGATGCTTCCTTCATGCCTCTAAGGCTCATTCCGCCTGTATTTCATCGAGCAGTGGTAGAGCCTGCATCTAGGCTTGCCGCTGCACACCTACCTCGTGACCGATTTTCTGCGGCCATTTTGCAGACAAAATGCCGTCATGTTATGATGATGCAGTCGGGGAAGTTGCTGAATTGCGAAAGCCTGAAACATTCACACCTCGACGGGACGCTCAGACCCAGTGTGTGCATTTTCGCCTCGGCTCCGGCCCGTGCAGTCAAAGGTTTTCACAGTGTAATTACGGGGGACCCCTGAATTTCGGGTGTTTGGGAATGCCCCGTACCCCCTGCTGATCGGCCGAGGCCAACGACGTGCATGGACTTCGTTCCGGTTGCTGCCGCTCAAGGACCTATTATACTGAAATCATACTGAGCCTTTTACACCATGCGGTCTCGACAAACGAATTGGAAGCATTTTCCACGTGCGCATAAATAAAATTCATGCGTGTATGCAACAAAACCTGCGTACGACATACGGACATTGGCGATGCACGACGTTCCGTGGTATCTGTGATGCTGTCTGCTACGAAGCACATGGGGCAACTTCTGGTACCGTGATGGGGCGCAGAGTCCCTCAGATCAAGGTGCTCCACATTGATGAAACCTCCACGCTGGGGCCTTTGCCATCGAACGTCTCCTGTGGGCAAAGTTCAATAAGAGAGTCGGAGAGTAGCATCAGATAATTAGATTTATTGCGGCGATTCTACTTGCAACAGACCTCACTGGCTGGGCTAATATGCGCCCTAAACTGACAAGCATGCATTGAAAGTCATGACAAATTGCTTGCTGGTAAATAGGACAGGCATGTCCTCGCTTGGCATCGCTACATAGATGTCCGGCCGTCTGGTTTCTTTTCCCATTCCGGTGGTTTCCGCGGGCTGCCTCCTGAGCATGGATCGTCTCCCCGCATTTTTTGCCGCCACAGACGGGCGCTCCGGAGCAAGGCCTCCGAACTTCACAGAAGCAAGACACTGCGTTTGCGCCAGCTCCGTGCCCAGTCAGCTTGCTTTTTTGACTTGGAGTGCAGCAGCCAAGCCGGGATATCCACAGCCAGCGATCCGAAGTGTGAAGGAAACAGGAGTCTGTAAAGACGCTTACATACTCCTGTTGTCCTGGCGGCCCACAACATGTGCATGGGTCGGAAGCCTTCGACTATTCCCCTCAAGACCTACCGTTCGAAAACTGATCCGTCTGTGGCTTCCTGAGAGAATGAGTTCTGCTTAAAAATTGCTCGAGCAGTTTAGCAGAATGCGCGACTGTGCCTCCCAGTGGCCCTCTACCTGCATAAAACTATTGGCGAGCAATCTCAGCCAAGAAGCCTCGACGTTTGTGAAACATTTCAAAAGCTCCGATCGTTCTTCACTACTCCAGACAGCCACTTGCAGTGTTACATGGGCCCGCCATGGAAAGTGTGTGGTCGTGATGAGACCTGTACGTCGCTCTCAGATGCGGGGGGTTGACGCTGCTTATTCCTACGTTCCCGAGCGAGATTCAAGGTGCCCACGGGAGACGATGATCTCCGTGTTTTGCTCTAGAATTTACGAGTGAGCAGCGGACTCGTCCCCGAGTGGTCCTGGCCGGAAAAGCTACTTTCGTACAAAGGCCACGGGGTTGTCGACTGTTGCAGTATGAACATATTGCAGGAGGCACCTCCCGAGTGGTCCTAGCCGGAATCGTGATTGCGACTGGAAACTCGAACGCTGCACAAAACGGGAATCGTCTGCCGGGTTGTGGCTGGAAGTTGAGTCTGATAGTTGAATCATAATCGTGATAGGGTCGCGACAGGAATGTGCAGAATGTCGACATTTGTGGCGGGCAAGTGCACTCACGGAGCAGTGGCTGAAAAATAAGCTGAAAATCAAGAGGCAGACCAAGGGTGCTTTCATGTGCCTTCAGTACCTGGCACCTGCGATGTTCTCAATACGGGAATCACCAGGCGACTGTTGGCGTTCGGGTGCTTTTGCAGTGCACTTGTTTGTTTTGCCTCCCGGCCTCAACTGCCAGTTTTGCGTCGCTTTCGCAAATCCTCACCTTATGATGTCATGTGCTCCGCTGACGTTGTGCCCGGCTTTCGATCTCTGCTGGTGGCGGATGTGGTCTAAGCCACGTCAACCGCTGACTGACTCTTGGCATTAAACCCAGACCCGCATTGCCAATCTTAGACCCTAGAATGGGCCCAATTTTGTTGTCAATTTGCTGGAAGTGGCATCTGCCTCACTACATGAGGACGAAACAGCGTGCGCAGAATGTTTCCTCGTCATCGCTTGTCTTCGACCTCGCATCTGCACGTGATGTTCATGAGGAAGCTGTGTGGATTAACTAGATGACTTGAGCCGTCGATGTGCTTCTGCTCCAACCCAACCAAAGTTTGTAAGTTGGTGCTTAGCAATGCTTCAGGAAGACTCTGTGTGAGTGTGCCTGCGCGCGCCTATTTGGATGCGAAGACCAGATGCTAGACATACCATAATCGGACGAGGATCCATTCGCAGAGTAGGAAGGGGCAGAATCAGCTGGTTGCAGCTGACTTGCAACCAGGGAGGTCAGATGGTGCAAGAACAGCAGCCATGCGAAAAGCACATTTGCCAACCAACTAAGAGAGTGAGGACTTTCTAGAACTCGCAACCATGCTGCCATCATAATACCATGCGCGCCACCAACTCTCCGGCTTTCCTGGAGGTTTAGGTGACTCAGATGTCCTTCCGAAACTCAAGAGCTATTTCAAGGCGCAGTACAAGTATCTCGTGCCATCTTTCTGAAAATGACGTGTGCTGCGCACACAGCTCTGGAGCATTCTTCCGTTCCTTTGCTCGAGCCATACGCTACCCAAGCAGCCTTCAGGGCTCAACACGTCTCCGACGTGACTCATTGCCTGCACAGCGGCCAGGGTGGAGCTCATGTGTAGCAAACAACATGTCTGCTAGGCCTAAGCGCTTTCGTGAAGAAGAACATGCACTGGTGCAGGGAGCATAACATGTCCAAGATGCGAAAGGCGCTCCTCGACAATGTTCATCGTACGCAGAGCGAACGCAGCACCCAAAAGTATTCATGATGCACTCTGACAAAGTTCTGTCAACGCTCTTGCTCGCAGCTGCTCCGGTAAAGCTTTCCCAAGCATGTAGGACTTTCCTGACAAGTCCTGTGACCCTTTGCCTGCACAAATATGCACTCTCCGCGAGCTGCCACTGCACTAACCGCTGCAGCAAGTCCTCGACAAACTGTTGTTTTTGCACCAAGTCCTGCGAGCAACTGCAAACACAAACAACATTGTAACAACAAGATGTGGTTGCTTGTCATTGCTGTCATATTGATGCCCACCCAAGGCTCACGAACTCTGTGATGTCGCAGCACAGCACTGGCCAAAGTGTTGTTGACAGGAGCCATTTCATGAGTTAATTGTGTCCTGCAGCGTGTACGCAATGCTTGTAAGGTCGGTGTCAGGATCTGTGGTTCTTCCCCAGTTTCCTGATCCGGCACAGGGTCTGGGTCAAGCATGCCACCAGGACTCACAACATGAATCAACCCACACGCACACACACACACACACAGGAACACACATACACACGCACACACACCCATACATACACACACACACACACACCCACACACCCACACACCCACACACCCACACGCCCACGCGCACGCGCACGCGCACACGCACACGCACACGCACACGCACACGCACACGCACACGCACACGCACACACACACACGCGCACGCGCACGCGCACGCGCCCACACCACGCCCACCCACACACACACACACACANNCCCACACCCACACCCACACGCACACGCACACGCACACGCACACGCACACGCACACGCACACGCACACGCACACGCACACCCACACCCACACCCACACCCACACCCACACCCACACCCACACACACGCATCGGCCGCAGTACAAAACTGGGAAGTATGAGAAGTAGAAACAGTAGAGACATTGAATATCTTTTTCTTGCGAAGCTAATCTAGTAGAGAAGGCGCTAGGTCTTCGCTGCAGGCTGCATCCCCACTGTTAGGTTAGAGCTTTTGCAAGCTCAAAACCACCTTTTGCTAGGGCGTCTACAGTCTGCAGGGTAAGATAAGACAGGCCAGGACAAGTTGCCACCAGACATTTCCACGCGAACTCTCCTGAGTCGAATCTCACGTGCCGGCAAGTTGTGAGTTGTGACATTCTTGCATGACGTTTCCAGCGATGCTATCTCAGGAGGATTCCGCTTCTACTGGCTGAGCTGCCCATGGAAGCAAGGCATCGACAAACAAATGCGCAAATCAGTCGGTGCCGGCTGGCAACTTGTACTGTAACTGTGCATATTCAACCAAGGCGCGATTTCTCAATGCTGAGTTGACTTCTGGAGATGCACGTCAGAAATACCTTGCAGCTTGTGTTTGTAAATACAGGATTAGAAAGCAGGAAAGACCTTTGCCTTCACACTCCAGATACATGCCAAGACTTTTATCAGGCCAATGCATTAATAACTGTAATCTATTGCGACTGCAACCGGGTCGGTAAGATTGCATCGACCGAAAGACTGCCTCGTGGTTCCATTCAACACCCTGTTCAGAATGTGCGGATTTGGTCGCTCCACGCTCAGCATCTGTGAGGCTCAGCTGCTGACACAAACGGCCGCCAAAACTAAGTAGTGTGGTAGCTTTGCGCCTGCTCGTGGCTAGCGAACCATTACTTTGTCTCCACTGGCCAGGAACTTACTACCTTGTGGCGACTGATCGGGGATTCCCGTCCCAAGCTAAGGGTTACGTAAAGCTGGATCGGAATGACACCTCGCAATAAATCAAACCACAACGCGAGCCCCAAACTGTGCCGACAGCTGAAAAGCGGAACAAAAAAACACGCACAGTAACAATGAAGCCGGTGCACCAACTAAACCGCTTGCAATGGATTGGAGGAGGCCGTCCAGTCGAGCTCCGAAGTGCACATAATGTGGTTTGATTTTGTAACCTGCTACTCTTCACTATAGGATGTCCTCGCGGCGAATCCGAGAAGAATCCACTGACTAGCGTGCGACGTCTATCCATCCTCGAAGCTAAACGCTCAAGCCGAGCGCTGCATGGAGAAGAAACTACTTTCAACATGTTGAGCTGCAAAGCGGTTCTGCACTGCAGCAATGAACTCGCCCATGTCAGACAGGTCCACAAGCATCAACTCGGTTGCGCGAAAACTGTTGATATCCCGTTGCTCATTTGCAAGACAGGGCTCAGAGAGCACATCTTTCCAAGGAGCCGAGGGCTTTCCTGACTTATCGAAGGAGCGAAGATTGTACAACAAGTCAGTCAGAACCTCACAGCCAAGGCGAAGTCAATAGTCAACATGATGTCAACGTGTCTTCATGCTTCGCTGATCAGTCAAGCCTGAATTCCGCAAAAAACTTTGGACACGAGCAGAAGAGGGTTAGAATGTCGCGACGATTGTCCCCGCTGCCAAGAGCTAGACCGAAGGGCGTTCCACTTCTATCGCACTTCGTAGCCAGTTCTGCCCAGAAACATCCAGAAGGGCTGTCAGGCCGACCACGGGGTTGGCCTGCCATGAACGTGCTCTCGCCAGCCCTTGCTGCGCGACACGCACGCAAGGTAGAGACAGCATGTGGCCTGCGCGTTCGCCACGCAGTTCGGCAAGAACTCAAACACCCATGCTGGCTCCTGGTCAGCCCCGTGCCACGGTTCCGCGTTCCTCTTTACCTGTGACTTTACTACACCTGTCAGGCCCAATTAACGCGATTCTCAATGGCGGCACACCGTGCAAGTAGCTAGTGCTGCTGCTTGTGTGGCCCAGCGGTCCTCGATGCCATCTGCCAAGAAGTGATCGGTCAATGAGGTGCGCTCGCGTGCTCCGAGAGCCTCAGAAACTCCAAGCCCTATGAATATTGCCGTGGCCGAAGCACCTGAGGACCGCTTACACATCGCTCTTGCACTGATTCAAAAAGCGCGCGCAAACATCGGCATCTCTGTCACGCACGGGCATGATCCACTAGCTAATCTTTGAAACGGCGAGGGGCTGCCCACGAGTGCTTCAGTGCCTGATAGCCACGATCATCCTGAATGCGCGCCAGGCCTGCGCATATTGCAGTCACGCTGTAAGCCGCTATGCGCCAGTAGCCTGCTGCTTGCTGCCGGTGGGTGTTGCATCAACAGAAGCATTATGCAGCAGGAAATGCGACACTGATGTTGCCGGACAGGGACAATAAATACATCTTGACCAGTAGTGCGGCCAAAGCACATGCCAACCGTATGAGGACCATGTCCTGCGGTTGAGCATGAAAGAAGACGCGTCTACGCGGTCTGCAACTTGGAGAAGCTCAGCAGGCAACCCCAAGCATCAACGTTTTCGCAAGCAAAGCTCTTTCGTTCCTGCATGTATAACTTGACTGCAATTCTCGCAAAACTCTGTGTGTCTCCAGGCAATATAACTACAGGAATGCACGATCAAATTGTGTCGCAGAGACATGGTGTCGTGCATGGTCTTGCAAGAGGCATCTGCAGTATCGCCGGTCACAGCAGCAGAGAGTAGAGACACTGCTCCCAAACCGACAGCAGCTGACGTCTGACAATCGACTTCATCGCAATCGAGCACAACCGTCCTCTGGAGTGTCGAAGGGCAATTTCAGTTTCGTCGCACGAAGGCCCATGTACCCCCAGTAGATGCTGGTGGGGTTTACATTCATGAGCCGCTGAAGCATTCCTCGGAGGACCGGATCTGTCATGTTGCACAGCTGATGTGTGAAGCGCAGGCAGCCCACAAAACCCCAGTGTGCGCGCCGCCATGCGATACATCATGGCCGAACGCATGCCCTCGCACCTTCAACCAGCACAGCTGCAGGGCTCATTATGTCCGTTGCCAGGTGACGAATGCCACCAATTGTAGAATCAGCATTCTTTGCATTCATAAAGCGGGACCCATTGCCAGCAGCAAGACCACTCATGAAACCCAGCAGGAACAGGATGTAGAATCGGAAAACTGCATCACCTGTCATGAATACAGCATGAGCCAGAATTACCTCGCCCGCTACATGGGTGCAGTGTCGCCAAGCCCGCCCCCCTCCCCCCAATGGTATGGTACCAGCTGTTGGCATTATAGAGATGCTGCCGTATTGCCAAGAGCTATGCCCAAAAGCTGCCACTGTCGCGCAGAGGTCGCACTCGCCTCGAAACCACACCAACCACACCATGGGAGGGGCGGCGTATGCGGGGTGGGAACGGCGCGCGGAGGGCGGGGGGGGGGGGGGGGGCCCTCACTCGGCGACGCGGGAACGACGGTGCACTTGGGATGTGGCGAGAATGGGTGATTCGTCAAAGTGAGAAGTTCTATGAACTGGAACGACGCGCTGGCCTTTCAGCTCGATGTGCTCGCGGAGTTGCTTCACGTTCGCTGGGCAGTTCTCTCCCTGCAACATCTGCCTTCAGGTGCATTCAGAATGTGAAAGCAAGACGATCCACGCCTTGCATGACATTCTCCTAGTATGCTCATTTGCCCCGTTAGACAGAGTGCGCGAGGTTGAAGAGCTCGTGAGTCAAAAGCGCCTCCTGCGAAAGTGACTGTCATCATCACCGTTAACGTCGTCACCACTGTCGCTACAAATCATATGTCCTCAACATCGATGCCCCGTCCTCCACATACGTCTGGCTCCGTTGAGTCAGCCACCGCAAAGATGGCACTACGTTCTCGTAGCCTGCAGTCAGCGTCCCGTCAGGACCGTGCAACAACTCAGACATCAGATAACTCAAAGTTGGTTAATTACAAAGCATAAATCAGATCACACAACCGACTCAACGCCGACGCGCAGGCAGCCTGAAAGCGAATAGTTAATGGTCTGAACCTGGTTTCGACACTCAGCCCAGTTGCCATTCATCACTTGCACTACCGCCCTCTCCGGGCGCCGGCTCTCGACTGGGAGCTGCTGGAGGAGTGCCTTTCAAGGCGTACGCGGCTTAGGGCTTAGGGAAGCCATGGCCATCCCGACAAGTTCTCGTGCACTTGTGTCTGGCAATAATGCTTTTCCTCTGCCGTGTCGAGAGGAAACTCTGCCTAACCAGAGAGCACCATGTAGACGGATCACGACACAAGTTCGAGAACGCTCCATGCTTACAGCACCTGCTTTGCTTTGTTCAGCATGCATAGTAATGTGAGCTGAAACGGTGTTTCCTGTCAAATGAATGACGGAACATCAATCCACCGAACCCCCTGCGCTGCCATGTCAGGCAGGTCGCTTTGGACTTGCCCAGCGCCCTTATGGCCAAAAGCACCTGAAGCCGATGAAATTGCAAAATGCATTAGCGATGATTGCGTCGGCTGTGTAGTCGTCATCGGTTACATGGCGGATAGCGATGGAGGCTGCAAGCACAGCCTGCTTCGGCACACACTGAGACTGACAAGAGCTGGTCTCCTCGTAAAGAAGCCTCGAGAACCTAAGAACGTAAAGTGGCCAAGCTGAGCTCCATGCCAGTACGGCTTGCAGCTGCTGCGCATCAGGCTCCTTATACATGGCTGCATATGATATGTCAACCATCGAACACCAAAATCTGAGTGTTCGCAAAACCAGCATCATGGAGAGCTCCGCATGCAGTCCCAGCGGCAATCCAGGTCACGAGTTCTTGAAGCTCTTCCCACTGGGACTGCTTCAACTTCACATTCCTTGCTTCCAACGCTGCCAGATGCGAATGACCCCGAGAGTTTAGCCGTCAACTCGTTCCCTACTCAGCTGGACAACAAGCTCTTTTTTCGGCCTCTTCGTGACGCCGACACAGGTGAATCACGCACGGGGGAATCTCGTGCAAAAACTCATGCACTGCCATGCTCAGAGTTTGCGCATGCGGCGAGAACTCTGAAGTTTCAGAGCATTTCTGCAGGCAAATGTCTTGCCCTGGGGCTCCGTGAAGATGTCGTAGCGATTCTTCACAAGCGCAAGAACCTTGTGACACTTAGGTGCCCATGGCAATCTAACGAATTTAACTCCTCATCCTAGAATTATCTACGGCTTTGCAGAACGATCCCTTGCTCATAACTTGCAATCGACTCCTCCCATGGATTGGGCAAGCCTCGCCCACAGTGTGCTTCGATCGTACTCACCAGCATGGAGGCCGAGGGACACTGATGCAGGAAGATGAGCCCCTCTCCCTCTCACCAGCCTCACGAAAGACTGCTTTTGGCGCGAAGCTTGGGCAGGGGTGGCTGTTTCTACTGGGGCCACTAGGGTTGGAAAGACGGTTGCTTAGACACAAAGGTGACTTAGGAACTGCATAAACGGCGAATAAAAGGTAACTAAAAAGTAAATAAAAGCCAAATAAAAGCTAATTAAACGGCAATACACAATGTAATGCAAAAGGGAATATTGATGAAGACAGTTCCAGCAGATTCCAGCACGGTTGTGTAGGCACCTGTCTGTTCAGCTTTGGGATTAGCTTTTCCTTGCTCTCGGGGTTCCGCCGATAGTCCCAATTGTTAGCTTGTTTTTTACTTTTATTTAGCTTCTTTTTAGCTTTGTACTTAGCCTTTTTTTTTAGCTGTTGCGCAGCTTTTATTCTCCTTTTTTTCAAACCAAGGATCCCAGGATCTCTAAGGGAACCTACGTTCTACCTTTTATTCTCCTTTTTTTCAAACCAAGGATCCCAGTATCTCCAAGGGAACCTACGTTCCCACACCAGGGGCATGCACTGTGATGTGTAAGCCAGAGTCAAACCAGTGTTCCAGACTACAAGCTCAAAGACAACCCTTTCGGGGCGAAGCTCACGACCAATCGGGGCGAAGCTCACGACCAATCATTAGTGCTGGACATGTTTTCAGTTAATCCCACCGGGAGTTTGTCTTCACACTGTGTGATGTGCATGGCCTGTTCGAAGATGTTGTGCGGGCTCCAAACAGGGTGCAGCTCTGGAATATGCTTCTCGAGCTGATGGGGCAACCTGGCATGACAAGTCATCCGGAAGCTTGTCAGCATGGTTTTGCCGCGAGCTGCCAGGAGGCGTGCTTCAGGTTCTCGAATTTAGTTCATCACATCGTAGTGGTTGGCAGGCGATGCATGCAGATAACCCGGTCCGAGACAATACTTTGCAGGGCCCACTGCTCTGCATCGAGGCCTTGGTGCAACATCGTATTCACAAAGTCCTGGAGTCCTGGCGAGAACATCTCCATGCGAAGGTGCACGCTACTTCAAACTCCTTCATACCGAAGAAAAAGGCTAGGTCTAGGGTCTGGGAAGAGCTCTGGCAAGACTCTTTCTTCCGACAGCACAAAACCACGGTACGATGTGGTGACAATGCAGTAAAAATAGTAAGACGTTTGTGGTCTATTAGGCACGCACGGACAGTGTAAGCTTCAACACCAACCACTTCAACAAAAGCCCGGCATTGTTCGCCTTGCGATATCCTCAAACGGTCCTGGATCCGCTGTAGACTCTACTCGTGCATGTGCGGCACCGCTGCCATTCGTGAGAGTGGAGCCTCAGCAACAGTGGCAGGGGCTGCCCAGTGCAGAACCACGGAAGAGGGCAATATGACATCCGCAGCTGAGAAACTCTCAGAAGTCAGTCGGCTGAGTACCAAAGAGCCAGACGATGCCGTCTTGTGTAGCTTTGTTGCTGCTACGAGGTCCTCGCCCAGCTCCAGCAGGTCTTCCTCGTCCTCGTGAGTTTAGTGGTTAGTGAAGGCAGCAGTGTGCAGTCCCATACCCATTGCGGGGCATGTGATCTGGCAGCCAGTGTTTCGCACTTTGCAACCCGGGGACCCTGGACGGCGATGGACCGGGAAAGCAACTTTCCGAGTCAATAACCAGAAGCAGATAGAACGGACTTGAAAACAACAACACCATAACAACGTGACCAGCTGTGCACGGTGTCCTTCTTCGGACTCTGAGTCTCCGCCACATGGACGATGATATTGCTGAAAAGCTTCTTCGGATCAGGGTAGAGGGCCTCACACTTGCAAGCTTGGGCTGGCACGAATACGCCACCCCGGTCCGCACACGCACGTGAGCACGCACACACACATAATCACACACCATCATACACCCACACACAGACACACACGCGCGCGCCGCCTGGAACTGCTGGTTCTGCTTGCAGCAGTTCTCTCCTTGAAGTATCTGGTCCTGCCAAAGCTGAGCGGCAGGATAGGTCCGGAGACTCGACTCGACGTCCGACGAATTTCCACGGGGTTGCTCCGGTTTTTTTCAGCACCTGCCTTCGGCCCTCGACCCTCGGAACAATTCGGTCGTTCGGCCAGTTTGAGTTGAAACTGGTCACAAGGCAGAGACGAGGGACAGATGCCGGCCAAAGAGCTCCGGGCAGGTAGCCTGTCCTCGTCCCCATGCTTCGACTCAGTCTTCTGCATTGCCGCAACGAAATCCTTCGCATACCTGCATGAACGGCTGCTGCCTGCACTGTCAGTTCTCTGCGATTCGTGTCGAACCCGTATACTTCAGTGAAACTTGCTCCACAAGGCTCCACATGCGTGCTGGATGCTCGCAGAGCATTGACGCAGCTCCCCTCGAAGACTTGACGCACGCCACCAATTCCTTGCTTTCGGTTGGGTCGTCGAAAAATCATGTAAAAAAACTTACCAGGCACCTGGAAATCCCGCTTGCGGCTGAAAGTTGTTCCAGGATTTGACTGCGGGTGCAGAGCTGGAGGTTGCGGGTCTTCCTAAGAATCCTGCTATGACTCAAAGCCAACTTCAATCTGACATCCACAGCCTCACAAGTTTCATGTCCCAGCATCGGAGCCGTGCAACGAGTAGGTTTCGGCAAAGGAGGTCGGGATCAAAGTACTCCTGGGATACGACAAAGTCCGGAGTCAAGACTCAGCACCGCTCTCCGTCTAGATGAGACCTGTGAAGATGACAGAAAGCATACCCGTCACTCTGAACAACTTGCAAAAAGGTGTAATGACGCCTTCTGCGTCCAACCTTCAACGAAGCTTACGTGTGAAGGCCGCCTTCTTTACGATTGGCACGCGAGCAACCTACAAGAGGGCCGTGAGTGACCGGCACAGACCCCAAACGCAGCCAAAGGCCCCTTTCTGTCTATACCTTTCTTACGCATGCAGGCGTCGGGGATGTGCAACCCGCTCAAGTGAGACACTTGTGCAACTGCAGAAGATGAATCCAACAACCTGGCCCTGCACTTGCTCTCTGCTCTCGCTCAGTGGTTGTCTCCATCTTTCTTTCGCCAGGGCTTTGCACTGCCTCGCTCCACTGCTGATGAGGGGCTGATGGATGGTCGACTCTGCGAACAAGCTAAGCTCGCCAAACCAATGAGACCCCTCCAAGGTCTCCTGCGTGCGCACAAGCATTTGCACCCCTATGCGTCACTGGTCCCGTAAACACGATCAAGCCACCTGCTCAGTTTGGCAACTCTGAACCTGAACCAGAACATGATAAACAAGCCCTATGCACGATACTTCGCAGGCACGCCACACCTTGCGACAAAACTCTGGATTTATTGCCGGCCAGCTTGTACACCAACGGCACCGCTTTTTGATGGAGGTACTACTCGCTAGAGGCGCATTGAGAGACTTTGAGTTGATCGGATCGCTGCTCACTAGTGTCACTAGTGCCGTCCGCTAAAACGTGCGAGGACCGCCCAACAACCGAGAGTACCCTCCCCCAATACAACGCAATTACCAAAGTTCTATCGTTCATTGGATGAAAAACTTCAAGATGCACCGTCGGCTGCTGATTTTTAGCTGGCACTGCTTAGTTTCTGCAGCTCCTGACTGCTCAAATGTCTGACACAACAATCGGTAAATAACTTCAGGATCGCTATACTTCGCATCTTTGAATCAACAAGTGGTCGGAACATCGTCTTGGCTTGCCTTGACTGACTCATGCTAGATACCTTGTCGTGGAGATGGCTACTGAATTTCTGATGACATGAACATTCGCCATCAGAACTATGATCGAAACAGTTACTGCTATTGAGTAGCTGCTGTGCCCTAGCTTGCTGCCCGGTAGCAGTCTGGAAGCTGCTCTGGTCTTGGTAGCTGTAGGTACCTGGAGGTTTTGTTTTTCCGGGAGGACATGCACATGAATGGCTGCTGTTCCTGCTGCCGCTCCCCCGCCTGTGCTGGTCAACTGCAAGCTTGTGGCGTAAGATCCGGCTTGGAAGACCGGCTCACCCTTCTCAAAGAAGTTCTTCCTGAGCTCCACGTGATGCTCAATACAGAAGGGAGCCGGTCTTCAATGCCAGCCTCACTCCAAACAGCCATAGCTTCGTGACACATCGTGACACTGCCAGGCCGCGTCAAAGCCGCACAGACCGATCCGAACACGTCTGGGTAGCACTCCTCCAGACACTCCGACGTGGCTCTTGGTGGCTTGCAAAATGGCCCTTCCATATTTTTTCCATTCAAGGGAAGCAAACCTCGCCTGGAGCAGAGCGAAGATCGGGATTCTGCTCACGTAGTTCTCAGCGGACAGCACTCCATCACACGTCTTTCGATTGGTCCCCTACAGTAACGGCTGGAATATCAGTAACCTTGAGCCTTGACCTGCTTTGCACTGCCCCAGAGACCCCGGTTTTCAACTCGTGCCGCCAAGAGCATCTGAACCTCTGCAAAGTGACGGCCCGCTGGCTGACGTAGAGCTCCAGCTGTAGAGTCGGCGAGATAAGGGAAGCATCCTTGAACCGTATGCAGCTACTTCGCTATAGCAAGATTGGCATGTTGTCACCGATTTCAATTCATGCACCTGATAGCTGATAGCACCAAGATGCCAAGGTGTTGGTGGAAAACTTCCTCAGTTCCCAGCTTAGTGTAGACGACTAGCCTGCATTGCCTTCCTTCTGCAGGCGTTGACATGCTTCTGTGATCATGCAGAAAGGATTCTCCAGCTTGTAGTCTACGAACCGCATGATTCGGGTGACAAGCTCGTACCTCGGCCATACAAGATACAACAACTTTCAAAAAACAACACGGTCTGAAAGCGTACGAGCGATGCTTCAATCGCATCCTGTTGACCTCGAAACTTGCAGCAACGATCAGCATACTCCGCTAGATCAACTTAGATGCCGGTAGCTGCATCTAGAGAGAACCAAACTGGCCCGAGTTCGATGCTGGCCAGCCACGACACAGACTGTCCGGCCAAATAAAGCCGTACGTCGCGCCTGCGTCGGTCACTTTCCTGGCGATGCAAGTAAATCAAACATGCATGTGTGTAAGAAGTACGCCGGTTAACCTGATTGGCTGTTTCGAGGCCTAATGAGCTTTCAGGACGGCTGTTTGGCAGCGGCAAGTGCTGTAATGCTCCCGCACCTCGTTCATCGCCCTTAGCTCTGCCGTGGTCCCGGAGATCTTGGAAATCGCGGAACCAATGACCTGGAAGGCCGTGCAATCCAATAAATCTTACAATCGCAGCAGATGGAAAGGACGAATCGTCCTGCAGATGCCAACCGAGTGACGACTAGCGTGGTCACCGAAATCAAGATGTCGAATCCCCACTCAACCCCGCTTCCAGCAGACATTTCCTCAGCGGCGGACTGTATCAGTCAAGTAAACACGTGCAGGACAAGCTATGTGTCGCATATCACGAATCCGTGGCAAAGTCTTGCTTGGTACACTGTTCAAGTACGTTTTGGCATCCCCGTCGTGGCTCCGCACTAGTCTGCCCAAATCACGGCCTGGCCAGGCCTTTTCATGTCAGCGCCTCTGTTGTTTCTTTCTTTACGTCTTTCTTTCCGAACGCATAAGAGAGAGTGGTTTGCCTCGCCTCCTCCTTTTCGGATTCCAATTCGGCCACTGCGTGACGTCAAATAAAGCGGGGGTGCTTCACTGTTGTACGGCGACTTTTATCAACCAAGAGAAGGGCGCCGCCAGTCGCACATCCCGGGACTTGAGGAAACATGGGTCTTGGTATTCCCTGGATCAGAGAGCGCTCCCGCTCCCGGCTTTCATTTCGCTGTAACGCTCCTGGGGTCACCCGCGCGTCTGGTCCTCGCTCAGCTTGCAGGCCCGTTGCCGTGCTGCTGCCACTGCTGCCCCCTCCACTCCGTCTTGCTTTGGGCTCTCGTCGGCTGCTTCTATCTGCCTCTCTTGCCTCAAAAACATGTATCTGCTCTTCCTGCGGGGCTCCACTTCGCGAAGGATGCCAATCGCCGCCTTTCTGTCGAGCCCCCTGTGACCGACGGGCCCTAGAAGAGCCTGTTTTCGACGACGACTGCCGAGCTCGACTGCTTGACAGTTCAGTGCTCTCCTTTTCCGCTTCTCCCATGCTGCCCGCTACGCAGGTTTGGGTTCTTGAATCACAAGCTTTATATCTCTGTCTCTCCTCACAACGAGCACAGAAGCTCTTCCACAGCAAAGACATGTACTTTGCGGCCAGAGGCACTGGAGGAGACGGCGAATTCATAATCCAGCGGAGCGAATGCATGTATTGAATGAATCCAGGCACTGAGTGGGCTACTACTTCGTATGCCGGCGACCAGTCGTCATCCGTGCTCGAAGCATTGAGGCCCCTAGTTTCCTGAGATGCTGATGAGCAATCCAGAAGGCTTAGCCGGCATCGGCGGGTGCAAGAGAGTTTGTGATTGCGCCAAGACGAGGCACCGAAAAACATGTTCTATGCCTTATGCCCTGCTGTGACGACTTTACTATGAGTTCGGCATGTGGTTCCTCATGCCTCAGGTCATGCCGGAAACTCAGGAAAAGAAAAGTTCACTGAAATGGAGGAACCGTGAACATGAGGGTCTTGCCAAGCATCCGGTCTCTCTGCTATCTGTGCGATCTCAACCCAGCTCAAACTTGGCAACTCCGGGCCCAAGTTCAGCCCAATATAGAACCAGGCGCATGTCAAGAAATGTGCGGTCGTCAACATCATAACCGCCGTCTTCGTAATAGCAACCACTAACGTCACCCACTGCCGGCCGGCTGAGGCCGCGCTCTCTTCGATGATGGTGTTCAGCTTGGACAGCTTAACGATCCGCACGAGGCGGACAACGCGCAAGATCCGAACAAACCGCAGCAACACCACATCTGTGCTCAGGAGGAGGTAGCCGTAATCCAGGGAGAGTACGAACACATCAAACATCCTCAGAATTCAAGCAGGTTCTGGAAGCAAAATCAATTGCACTACCAAACCAGGAAGCAAAGAAAGGTCTGAATAATATGCGCAGTTGCATCCAGCTCCGCGAGTAGTGCCACAGAATGCTTCGACGATGCATGACCAAGCGGCCTTCAATGTTTTGAAAGTATGCCCGCTCTCAATGCCAGAACTGACAAACACACGGTATGCTGCCGCTTCCAGCATGAAGCGAGAATAAAGCTTGCCTCGTATGTAAATGGCTGTGTTTAGGTTGACGGGCAGATCGGCAGACCAGAAAACCAAGCCTCAGCTTTCAGACGCACGAAGCCTCCCGAACTTGGCGCGCGCGCTTCTCAGTCAGTAATGGAACCCCCCCCACCCCCTCGCCTTTTCTCCGAACGCATGAACCATGTATTCACTTCCGTGGCCCGGCCGGCATGATCGACTTCGCTCTGAAAAACTTGACTACCTTCGACATCCTGCGAGACTTCCACACTCGGCTGATTGCCAGAACCAAGGCACAAAGCTCAAATACCAGGGCGATAGTTCCTGCCAAGTGGCTAACGTAGAAACTGACCGCAGTAACCGTGCCGCCGATGCCGTCGTCCGTCATTGAAAAGTCCTCAAATCGGCAGCTAATGGGAGGGGCTTTTTTTACACCCCGACAAGGCTCTTTCCCGTCCCTTCTCTGA